TTGTTGTGAGCGTCGCTCCTCCGCCCTCCGTTGTTGTTGGAGGGCGACTGCCTCCAACTGCCCAGTAGCGTCCTTCACGAGCCTCCTCCACAGAGGCCGATCTTGACACCGCTGGTACCGGTCATCGGCAAGTCCACTCAGCACCACGTCCTACTGAACCACATCACTCCATATCTTCTCTAGCCCGTGCCGCGCCCGTTTAGCCCCCTCGATCCGGCCGAACAAAAGCTGTTTAGGCATGCGGTAGCTGGGCATGCGGGCTACATGACCCAGCCAACGCAGCCTTGCCTGCCGGAGGAGCTCACCGATGTGACTTTGTCCAGATCTTTCGAGGATTTATGAGCTCCTCACACAATCCAGCCTGATTAAACCCAGGATAGATCGTAGGCAGGCCAACCTTAATGTTTCTAACTGGCGAAGACGTTCCATTAGGGGGGGTCCACGTTTCGCAAGCGTAGGGAAGGGAGGGAATGACTGTGGCCGAGAAGAACCGAAGCTTCGTACGGAGCGACAGACCAGGTAGCTTCCACACAGCGTTACGCAACCGATGAAAAGATAATGCCGCTCGACTGATTCGGAGTGAGATCTCTGCTGTTAAACTGGAGCCGGTCATAAGCACACTGCCCAGGTTTGGGAAACTCTCCACTCTCTCCACAACTGCCCCATCACCGATTGGGAGTTGTGGGCGTGGAGTGCCCGATGGTACAAAATACCCAGGCAGGTGCTTAGTTTTGGTGGGGTTAATGGTAAGGCCCCACCTCTTAGTGGCACGCTCCAGTCCCAGCAGCAGCGTTTCCAACTCCTCTTCTGAATGAGCAGATATTACCAGATCATCGGCATACATAACGTGGTTGACCAATAGGGAGCCATCCCTTGACCACACCCGGGCATCGATCAGCCCCCATTATATTTGTACCAAATGGGAATTCCTCTGGTACAGCTATTGAAGGCTTCACGAACTACGTGGTTTCATAGATGTTAAATAATGTGGGAGCCAGAGGACATCCCTGTCGCACCCCAAGGTGTACAGGGAAAGGCTCTGACTCCCGGCTACGTAGTTTTACCCGGGCCCGCTCACCATCATGAAGGTCCTTAATGATCGTGAGCAGAGGGTCAGGGACTCCGAAAGCACGAAGAACAACCCAGAGCCCAGGCCTACTGATGGTATCATAGGCCTTGACCAGGTCAATAAAGCAGAGATGTAGGTATTCTTAGGTTTTTTCGGTAAAGTCACGTCGGTAAAAAATAAAAATTAATAAAAGTAAAATAAAATAAAAATCACGACGTTTCGAAGAAGGACAACATGGGCCGTCCATAAATGACGTCACGCGATTTTGGACGATTTTTGACCCCCCCCCCCCCTCGTCACACGACGTCACAAAAAGTCAGACCCCCCCCCCCTCAAATATGACGTCACAAAGCTCTGCCCAGCCCCCCCAAAAAATATAAAACATGCTTCAAATCGTTTTTTTACCCTTCTATCTGACAACAAAACTGACGGACAGTGCACATTATCAGAGTTATGATGTTTGTTTGCATTATGACTGCAGGTATTGTGGTCTATGCAAACATGACTCCTTGTAGAAAAGGTGTCAGTTTTGTTGCCAGATAGAAGGGTAAAAAACCAATTATCATATTTTTTTTTACTGGCAAATGAGGTTCCAATGATGCTTCAAATCGCTTTAAACTATTGTCATTGTAGTGCGTATTTAATGTGGCGCTGCACTCGGATGTTGTAGGAGAAAACATTTATTAAAAAGTCTATTTAATTAAGTAGAACGTGTTGTCTATATGTATTTAAAGTTGTGCATTTTGATGTGACGTCACATTTCTCACCCCCCCCCCTCGTCACACATCGTCACAAATGTCTGACCCCCCCCTCTAGGTGCGTGACGTCATTTATGGACGGCCCACATATCGTTAGGGTCGGGATCGAACCCACGACCTCCTGCAGACCCGGCGAGGCAGTCAACATCTCGAGATCCACGTTGGACAGATATCGATTCCGGGATTCGCTCAGTATATATATGCAGAATCGATTACTGGATGATATGGAATCGATATAATTACCACACCGGCCATTATCGATCTATTGGTGAATGAAGCCCCCCCTCCAACGCTGCCCCCTGCGATGTAACAGCAGCCGAGGCAGCGGCCTGCCCCCGATCCCATTGCATCGCTCCATCTCCGCACAAGTGGATCCTCCAGAATCGATCGGAATAGTTAATGGGTTTCGAATCGTTTAGTCTTGTTGCCGAATAGAATCGATCTTTATTCGAGTCAACGGAATCGATTCGCGCCCATCGTGTTCTGCAGGCAACGGGACCTCCAAACAAAAGTCATCGATTCCTAATTTATGAACAACCGATAGCCGAATCGAATTAAACCCGGAATCGAATCGCCGCGACGGAATCGCCGACTTTGCGAATCGACTCCAGCGAGCTGCGTGACATGGCGACACGTGGTGGCGCAGCGGGAGACGAAGCGGGCGCCGTGGGGGGCGCCGTGGGGGGCGCCGTGGGGGGCCCCCCCGCCCAGAGCCCCCCTCCCGAGGGGGGCCCCCCTCCCGAGGGGGGCCCCCCTCCCGAGGGGCCCCCCCCCGCTCAGAGCCCCCCTCCCGAGGCGGCGGCGCTCCCCGCCTGCCTCATCGTGCTGGGCATGGCGGGCTCGGGAAAGACGACGTTTGTGCAGGTGAGAGGGGGCACAACAGGCGGTGTGTGTGTGTGTCTGTGTGTGTGTGTGTCTGTGTGTGTGTGTGTCTGTGTGTGTCTGTGTGTGTGTGTCTGTGTGTGTCTGTGTGTGTGTGTGTCTGTGTGTGTGTGTGTCTGTGTGTGTCTGTGTGTGGTGTGTGTCTGTGTGTGTGTGTGTGTCTGTGTGTGTCTGTGTGTGTGTGTCTGTGTGTGTGTGTGTCTGTGTGTGTGTGTGTCTGTGTGTGTCTGTGTGTGTGTGTGTCTGTGTGTGTCTGTGTGTGTGTGTGTGTCTGTGTGTGTGTCTCTGTGTGTGTGTGTCTCTGTGTGTTGTGTGTCCTGTGTGTGTGTGTCTCTGTGTTGTGTGTGTCTGTGTGTGTGTGTCTCTGTGTGTGTGTGTGTCTCTGTGTGTTGTGTGTCTCTGTGTGTGTGTCTGTGTGTGTGTGTCTCTGTGTGTGTGTGTGTCTCTGTGTGGTCTGTGTGTGTGTCTGTGTGTGTGTGTGTCTGTGTGTGGGTCTGTGTTGTGTGTCTGTGGTGTGTGTGTGTCTGTGTGTGTGTGTGTGCTCTGTGTGTCTCTGTGTGTGTGTGTCTGTCTGTGGTGTGTGTGTCTCTGTGTGTCTCTGTGTCTGTGTGTGTGTGTGTCTCTGTGTGTTCTGTGTGTGTCTGTGTGTGTGTGTGTCTTGTGTGTGTGTGTCTGTGTGTGTGTGTGTCTGTGTGTGTCTGTGTGTGTGTGTCTGTGTGTGTGTGGTCTGTGTGTGTGTGTTGTCTGTGTGTGTGTGTGTCTGTGTGTGTCCTGTGTGTGTGTGTGTCTGTGTGTGTGGTGTCTGTGTGTGTCTGTGTGTGTGTCTGTGTGTGTGTCTCTGTGTGTGTCTCTGTGTGTGTGTCTGTGTGTGTGTGTCTCTGTGTGTGTGTGTGTCTCTGTGTGTGTGTCTGTGTGTGTGTCTCTGTGTGTGTGTGTGTCTCTGTGTGTCTGTGTGTGTGTGTGTGTGTCTGTGTGTGTCTGTGTGTGTGTGTCTGTGTGTGGGTGGAGGTGGTCTCTGTGTGTGTGTGTCGGTGTCTCTGTCTGTGTGTGTGGGTGTCTCTGTCTGTGTGTGTGTGGTCTCTGTCTCTGTGTGTCTCTGTGTCTGTGTGTGTGGAGGTGGTCTCTGTGTGTCTCTGTATGTCTGTCTTTGTGTGTGTGTGGGTGTCTCTGTGTGTGTGTGTGTGGAGGTGGTCTCTGTGTGTCTCTGTCTGTGTGTCTCTGTCTGTCTCTGTGTGTCTCTGTCTGTCTGTCTCTGTCTGTCTCTGTGTGTGTGTTGTGTTAAATAACAGGCGGGGGGAGTTTGTGCTCACAAGCGGTGTATGTGTGTGTGGAGGTGTCTCTGTCTCTGTGTGTCTGTGTAAAATAACCACTATTAGCGTGTTAAAGTTGATCTCTGTGTGTGTGTTGTGTAAAATAACCACTATTAGCGTGTTAAAGTTGATCTCTCTCTGTGTGTTGTGTAAAATAACCACTATTAGCGTGTTAAAGTTGATCTCTGTCTCTGTGTGTTGTGTTAACACTTAACGTGTTCAAGTTGATCTCTATCTCTGTGTGTTGTGTAAAATTAAAACTATGAACGTGTTCAAGTTGATCTCTGTGTGTGTGTCTGTGTAAAATTAAAACTATTAACTTGTTAAAGTTGATCTGTGTGTGTTGTGTAAAATGTAAACTATGAACGTGTTCAAGTTGACGCCGAGTGGCGCTGGGAGTCGGGCAGCTCGCGGTTCGATTCCCGGCTACGGCGCCCCGATTTAATATTTATGTTTAAATTGTTTTTATTAATATAAATAATACCCTAACAAATACATATACAGGAAGTACAACTGGTATTAAATTCTAATTCGGACAATTTGTTTTAATGCAGAACTCAACACCGAGATATCCTGAACAACAGAATGTCAAGATGGATTAATAGCGGAGGAATCCGAAGAGCTATCAAGCTCTCGCCACCCACCACAGATGTCCACGCTGCCCTGCGCATGTTGTGAATGGGCGGTCGGGGTCACGTGGGGGCCACGTGGGCCCGGGTTGGTGGTGGTGGTAGTTGGTGGTGGTGGTAGTTGGTGGTAGTTGGTGGTGGTCGTAGTTGGTGGTGGTCGTAGTTGGTGGTGGTTGTAGTTGGTGGTGGTGGTAGTTGGTGGTGGTCGTAGTTGGTGGTGGTTGTAGTTGGTGGTGGTGGTAGTTGGTGGTAGTTGGTGGTGGTCGTAGTTGGTGGTGGTGGTAGTTGGTGGTAGTTGGTGGTGGTTGTAGTTGGTGGTGGTGGTAGTTGGTGGTTGTGGTAGTTGGTGGTGATCGTAGTTGGTGGTGGTGGTAGTTGGTGGTAGTTGGTGGTGGTTGTAGTTGGTGGTGGTGGTAGTTGGTGGTTGTGGTAGTTGGTGGTGGTGGTAGTTGGTGGTGATCGTAGTTGGTGGTGGTGGTAGTTGGTGGTGGTTGTAGTTGGTGGTGGTGGTAGTTGGTGGTGGTGGTAGTTGGTGGTGGTTGTAGTTGGTGGTGGTTGTAGTTGGTGGTGGTGGCGTTGTTGTGTGTGACGTTGTTGTTGTGTGACGTTGTGTGTGACGTGGAACTTCCTTCGCACCGTACGTAGCCACCCGTCACCCGTGCTGCTCATGGGAGGTGCGTGGACAAGGTGACGGAGTGAGTGGCAGGCTGAAGAGTTGGCGTGCTTGTTGAGGTGCTGGTGTTCACCGTGGTGGTGGTTGTTGTTGTGGTGGTTGTTGTTGTTGTTTTAGAGGGTGACTGCGTACCTACACACGCACAGGCGCGCTCCGTACGTCATTAACCTGGACCCGGCTGTCTACGACCTCCCGTTCCCAGCAAACATCGGTAGGGCTCGCACACACACACGCACATGTACACACGCGCACACACGCACACACGCACACGCACGTACACACACACAAGCACACACATGTACGTACACACACACGCACACACACACGTACGTACACACACAAGCACACACGTACACACACGTACGTACACACACACACACGTACACGCGCACACACACACGTACACACGCACGTACACACACACAAGCACACACACAAGCACACACACAAGCACACACACAAGCACACACACAAGCACACACACACGTACACACACAAGCACACACGCACAAGCACACACGCACGTACACACATAAGCATGCACACACCCACGCATGTACGCACACAAGCACACGCACACACGTCCGCACGTATGCACACAAGCACGTACGTATGCACACATGAAGATGTATCGGTCAGACTCTCATCATCACGGGACCTCCTCCTTTGCCAGTACCAAAATATGAGAATAAGTTTTCCCCCTTTTCTGGCAACAAAACAGTTGTGTTCAGATGTTAAAACACCAAACTGAAACCTTTTACGAGGAATCACGTCTGCATTAACCACAATGCTTATGTTCAGAATGCAAACAAAAATCATACTCTGATAATAGATGGGCATTGTCCTTGAAACTGATTGGTCCACACCAGAGGCAGCTTTCTTTTGTGCCTCGTCTCAAGCGGTGTTAGACCAGAGGACGCCACAAGGCAGATTCTCATTCGTACATCGGCCACGTGTGAATAATAATAACAACAACAATAATAACAATAACATTAACAATATTAATATCTGAGAAAAAGTGTCAGTCTTGGGGGGTGGTGGCGATGGTGTTCATGGCGAGAATGTTCGGAATTAAAATCACCACCATCACCACCATCACCACCACCATCACCACCACCACCATCACCACCACCACCACGTGGGCCGAGCCCGGAGCTCATCCACATGGGTCGTGTTGGTTGGCCAGTGAAGGTTTCATGTCGGAGATCTTCGTCAGCACTCAGCAGGGGGCAGCACTCACTCGGCCCTTGCCTACTTAGACTACAGTCTCAATCACTCCCACAGCCACCACAACCACAACCACTATAACCACCACAACCACCACCGCCACTACCACCACCGCCACTACCACCACCGCCACTACCACCACCGCCACTACCACCACCGCCACAACCACCACCGTCACAACCACCACCACCGCCACGGCCACCACCATCGCCACCACCACCACAGCGCGAAGTCACGCAGCTATGATGATGGTAATGATGGTGGTGCTGGTGGTGCTAATGATGATGGTGGTGCTGATGATGGTGATGATGATGGTGGTGCTGATGATGGTGATGCTGATGGTGGTGCTGGTGATGACGATGCTAATGATGATAATGGCGGTGCTGATGATGGTGATGATGATGGTGGTGATGATGATGACGATGCTAATGATGATAATGGCGGTGCTGATGATGGTGATGATGATGGTGGTGATGATGGTGGTGCTGATGATGACGATGCTAATGATGATAATGGCGGTGCTGATGATGACGATGCTAATGATGATGATGCTGCTAATGATGATGATAATACGGATCGCAGCCGATGATAATGATGGCGTTGGACGAATGAGATGTTACAAACTGTCCGTGCGTTGTGCCTCTCACGGCGATGCCGTCATAGCGACAGGCGGCAGGCTGTCCCGTCGGCCAGCACGAGTGTGAGCTCTCACGGCGACGACGTCGTCATAGCGACAAGCGTCAGGCTGCCCTGTCGGCCAGCACGAGTGTGAGCTCTCACGGTGTCGTCATAGCGACAGGCGGCAGGCTGTCCCGTCGGCCAGCACGAGTGTGAGCTCTCATGGCGACGACGTCGTCATAGCGACAAGCGTCAGGCTGCCCTGTCGGCCAGCACGAGTGTGAGCTCTCATGGCGACGACGTCGTCATAGCGACAGGCGGCGGGCTGTCCTATCGGCCAGCACGAGTGTGAGCTCTCACGGCCGTCGCTCGCGTCCGCAGCGGCCGTGACGCCGTCAACCTGCCAGAGCCGAGCGGTGAGCCCGACGAAGGCTCTCGCTCTGACGTCGCTCGCTGTCTTTCGCAGACATCCGGGACACGGTGAACTACAAGGAGGTGATGAAACAGTATCCTTCCTGTGCCAAACTCACACGTACCTCCTGGTGTAACCACAGACCTCCTGGCATAGCCACAGACCTCCTGGCATAGCCACAGACCTCCTGGTGTAACCACACACCTCCTGACATAGCCACAGACCACCTGACATAGCCACGCACCTCCTGACATAGCCACAGACCACCTGCCATAGCCACAGACCTCCTGACATAGCCACAGACATCCTGACATAGCCACATACCTCCTGACATAGCCACAGACCTCCTGGCGTAACCACACACCTCCTGACATAGCCACAGACCTCCTGACATAGCCACAGACATCCTGACATAGCCACGCACCTCCTGACATAGCCACAGACATCCTGACATAGCCACGCACCTCCTGCCATAGCCACAGACCTCCTGACATAGCCACAGACATCCTGACATAGCCACGCACCTCCTGACATAGCCACAGACCACCTGACATAGCCACACACCTCCTGACATAGCCACAGACCTCCTGGCGTAACCACGCACCTCCTGACATAGCCACAGACATCCTGACATAGCCACAGACCTCCTGACGTAACCACACACCTCCTGACGTAGCCACGCACCTCCTGACGTAGCCACAGACCTCCTGACATAACCACACACCTCCTGACATAGCCACGCACCTCCTGACGTAGCCACAGACATCCTGTCATAGCCACACACCTCCTGACATAGCCACAGACCTCCTGACGTAGCCACGCACCTCCTGACGTAGCCACAGACCTCCTGGCGTAACCACACACCTCCCGGCGTGGCTGTGTGGTTACACACCCGGCGTGGCCATTCACCTGCTGTGTGGTTACACAGCTGGCGTAGCCGGCCACACACCTGTGACTCGTGTCCTTAACCTGAGCTCAGGTACGGTCTGGGTCCCAACGGAGGCATCGTCACCGCTCTCAACCTCTTTGCAACGCGCTTTGACCAGGTGAGCGCCCATCGGCACTGCCGCTCACCGTCACCGCGCCCGTGCCGGGCATCATCGGCCACCGCGCTTCCCCCGGCTATTCACGGCAACCGTATCCACGGCAACCGTATCAGTACCAACCGTATCCGTGCCAACCGTATCCGTGCCAACCGTGGGTCTCGCCCCGTGTTGGGGACGTCGTCGGGGTTAATCTGCACGTGGCAACCCGTGGATGATCGGGCCTAGGAGATGTTGACTACCTCGCCTGGTGTGCAGGAGGTCGTGGATTCCATCCCGACCCTGACGCCTGCTGCTGCTGCTGTGTATTTGGAGTTTGCGTGTCTCTCAACATCATCACTGTGGCTAGGAAATGTTAGCTACCTTGCCTGGTATACGGGAGGTCATGAATTCGACCCTGACGCCTGCTGCTGCTGCTGTGTATTTGGAGTTTGCGTGTCTCTCTCTCTCTCTCCCTGTGGCAGCCGCGTGGACTTTTTTCCGGGTCCTCCGGTTTTTCGCGCCACGTTTAGGAACGAGCGTTGAGAGTATTTGGCGGATGTCAATGTCCACACGATGAAATACGCCGCCACTGCCTTGAGCGGTCATTTGTGATGTCCATAGCTCAGTGGGCCTCACGATGTGAAATACAAAATAGTTGAGGGTTCACACCCCTGTCGCCTGTGTTCATCGCTGAGGCTGCCGGCAATCCGTTGTGACTCCGCCTCTCCTCCTGTCGCGCAGGTGATGACCTTCATTGACAAGAGACGCAGCGAGACAGAGTGAGCCCACTCCTCTACCCCCCCACCTCTTCTCTACCCCACCTCTTCTCTCTCTACCCACCTCTCTCTCTACCCCACCTCTCTCTCTACCCCACCTCTCTCTCTACCCCACCTCTCTCTCTACCCCACCTCTCTCTACCCCCACCTCTCTCTACCCACATCTCTCTCTACCCCACCTCTCTCATAGGTGCTCGCTAACAGCACTTGCCCCTACAGTCTGTTAAGGCTATATGGGGGATCTTTGTTTTTGTGAGTAAGTAAGTGTGTGTGTGTACGTGTGTGTGTACGTGTGTGAGTGAGTACGTGTGAGTACATGTGCGTGTGTACTTGTGAGTGTGAGTACTTGCGTGAGTAAGTAAGTGTGTGTGTACGTGTGTGTGTACGTGTGTGAGTGAGTACGTGTGAGTACGTGTGAGTACATGTGTGAGTGAGTACGTGTGTGTGTGTGTGTACGTGTGTGTGTACGTGTGTGAGTGAGTACGTGTGAGTACATGTGCGTGTGTACTTGCGAGTGTGAGTACTTGCGTGAGTAAGTATGCACGTGTACTTGGGGAGCGGTGGTGCAGCGGTTAGCGCTACGCTGCGCTACGAACCCAGCGACTCGAGTTCGATTCCCGCTCGCGGCCAACACCGGTGACGATCATCTGAACCTGTGCTAGGCCTCTCCTAGGTCGACTCGGCCTCAAATGAGCACCTGGTGCGGTCGGGCGTGGTGCTGGCCGCCCGCCCGTTCGCGTGCCGTGCCGGCCTTCGTAGGCGCTTGCCGACAGGGCACTTGCCCCAGCAGTCGGCGAGGCTACACGGGGGACCTTTGTGTGCTGTGTGCAGGTTTGTGGTGATCGACACGCCGGGCCAGATCGAGGTGTTCACCTGGTCGGCGTCGGGGACCATCATCACCGAGGCGCTGGCGAGTGGCTCAGCTCCTCACCACTCGCTACTCACCACTCATTCGCTCACCACTCGCTCACCACTCACTCACCACTCACTACTCACCACTCACTACTCACCACTCGCTACTCACCACTCGCTCACCACTCACTCACCACTCACTACTCACCACTCGCTCACCACTCGCTACTCACCACTCGCTACTCACCACTCGCTACTCACCACTCACTACTCACTACTCACCACTCACTACTCACCACTCACTACTCACCACTCACTACTCTCCACTCGCTCACCACTCGCTCACCACTCACCACTCGCTACTCACCACTCGCTACTCACCACTCACTACTCACCACTCGCTCACCACTCGCTCACCACTCACTACTCACCACTCACTACTCACCACTCGCTCACCACTCGCTCACCACTCACCACTCGCTACTCACCACTCGCTACTCACCACTCACTACTCACCACTCGCTCACCACTCGCTCACCACTCGCTACTCACCACTCGCTCACCATTCGCTCACCACTCGCTACTCACCACTCGCTCACCACTCGCTACTCACCACTCACTACTCACCACTCGCTCACCACTCGCTCACCACTCGCTACTCACCACTCGCTACTCACCACTCACTACTCACCACTCACTACTCACCACTCGCTCACCACTCGCTCACCACTCACCACTCGCTACTCACCACTCGCTACTCACCACTCACTACTCACCACTCACTACTCACCACTCGCTCACCACTCGCTCACCACTCACCACTCGCTACTCACCACTCGCTACTCACCACTCGCTCACCACTCACTACTCGCTCACCACTCGCTCACCACTCACTACTCGCTCACCACTCACTCGCTCGCCACTCGCTCACCACTCGCTCACCACTCGCTCACCACTCACTCGCTCGCCACTCGCTCACTACTCGCTCACCACTCGCTCACCACTCACTACTCACCACTCACTACTCACCACTCACCACTATCCACTCACCGCTCACCACTCACCCACTCACCACTCACACACTATTCACTCACCACTCACCACTCACATTATTCACTCACCCCTCACCACTCACCACTATTCACTCACCACTCACCCACTCACCACTCACACACTATTCACTCACCACTCACACACTATCCACTCACTACTCACCACTCACACACTATTCACTCACCACTCACCACTCACTCACTATTCACTTACCACTCACACACTCACCACTCACTCACTATTCACTCACCACTCACCACTCACTCACTACTCACTCACTATTCACTCACCACTCACTCAGTATTCACTCACCACTCACCACTCACTCACCACTCACTCACTCACCACTCACTCACCACTCACTACTCACACACTATTCACTCACCACTCACCACTCACTCACCACTCACTACTCACTGATAGAGGCCGACCGAAATTCGGTTTCGGTGCCGAAAGTTGGCAAATGGCCTCTTTGGGCAAACTTTTGGTTTCAGCCGAAAGTCAATTTGTAACTTCCGGTCTGGTTTCGGTTTCGGCCGAAACTGATATCGACTTTCGGTCGTCATTCGTCAACCGAAGATCTATTTGTAGAATATAACGCTGGTGCCACGTCTATCACTCTGCCTATCGGCCGGTCAGTCGGCGCTAGGCAATCCTGTGCGATAGGCTGCAAACACACACACACGTCAGCAGCTTGGGAGCGAGGTTACGGCCGCAACCATCGTCTCTGCTAATGTAGATACGGCCTGTCAAGAGCCCGTCTGGCTGAATGCGGAAAAACTTTTGATTCTTAACTACAACATTCGTTTGTTTGGCTATGATTACTAAGTAAATAACACAAAAGATTTGCTATTGAGCTACTCTTACTGCAGCCTCTAAATGATTAGTTCTAGATTTATTTGTAATTAAAGTAGCATTGCATCGTGACATTTCATAAATCTTGTGTCCGCTAACTTTGGTTGTGTAACTTTCTGTTTCGGTCTCGGCCGAAAGTGAAGTACAACTTTCGCTTTCGGCTGAAACCAGAAATCCAGTTTTGGTCGGCCTCTACTCACCCATTCATAATTGATGTTTGTGTTGGGCCACGTAATGATCAGTTTGTGTTGTAAGATCCTCCACCACCCAACACACCCAAACAAATTAAATTGACGTGTGGACATTTGTGTGTCCACTGTCTCCCCCGTGTCTCCCCGTGCCTCTCGAACCCCGTGTCTCCCCGTGTCTCTCCGTGTCTCCCCGTGTCTCCCCGTGACTCCCCGTGTCTCCCCGTGTCTCCCCGTGTCTCTCCGTGTCTCCCCGTGTCTCCCCGTGTCTCCCCGTGCCTCCCGCAGGCCTCCACGTTCCCCACCGTGGTGCTGTACGTGATCGACACCTCTCGCAGCGTGAGCCCCGTCACCTTCATGTCCAACATGCTCTACGCATGCAGGTGGGGGTCGGCCTCGCTCTGCGCCCGCGCTGCTTCTTCCCGCCCTCGTGTTTGGCGACCGCCGCCGTTCCCCGCGCCGTTGAATTTCGTTTCAGCCGAGTTTTACCCCTCCCCCCCCTCCCGCCCCCCTTGGCCTGACCCGACGTGGATCTGAGACTGAAGTGAATGAATGAGCGTCGATATTTTAACCAATCCTCACTGTCCATAACGCGGCTGTTTATGTTGGGTGAGATCCGCCACACGTTGTGTCATCGTTAAACCCGCCACCACCCGACACAGCCAACCAGCAAGGGTCGTCACGTGAACAGAACGTGGCAATTCGTGACGAGTACAGCAACACACGTGTGTGTCGGAGTCACCACACACATGTTGTGCGGTGATCCCTTCCCGTGTGCGGCGAGGAGGAGCTGTAGCCCGGCTTTGCCAGGAGAGGGCGGTACAGCAAAGTGTGAACCAATCTCATCTCTCTCTCTCCAGCAGGGGATCGAGTGTTTCCCCCTCGCCCACAACCAATCTCATCTCTCTCTCTCCAGCAGGGGATCGAGTGTTTCCCCCTCGCCCACAACCAATCTCATCTCTCTCTCTCCAGCAGGGGATCGAGTGTTTCCCCCTCGCCCACAACCAATCTCATCTCTCTCTCTCCAGCAGGGGATCGAGTGTTTCCCCCTCGCCCACAACCAATCTCATCTCTCTCTCTCCAGCAGGGGATCGAGTGTTTCCCCCTCGCCCACAACCAATCTCATCTCTCTCTCTCCAGCAGGGGATCGAGTGTTTCCCCCTCGCCCACAACCAATCTCATCTCTCTCTCTCTCCAGCAGGGGATCGAGTGTTTCCCCCTCGCCCACAACCAATCTCATCTCTCTCTCTCCAGCAGGGGATCGAGTGTTTCCCCCTCGCCCACAACCAATCTCATCTCTCTCTCTCCAGCAGGGGATCGAGTGTTTCCCCCTCGCCCACAACCAATCTCATCTCTCTCTCTCCAGCAGGGGATCGAGTGTTTCCCCCTCGCCCACACGCGTGGTTTTCTGTGGGCGCTCCGATTTCCTCCCACACGTCAACACTCAGTCTTTGGTGAAGTTTGGTCGCGTAACTTTCCTCCGCGGGGGCTCTCACTCATCCAGCAGTGGAGTGTGACGACAGTGGGCTCCGTGCAGCCGGATTGGGGGTCGTCGCCATGTGATGGTGACGATGGTGATGGTGTTGATGGTGTTGATGTTGATGGTGTTGATGTTGATGGTGTTGATGGTGTTGACGGTGTTGATGTTGATGGTGTTGATGTTGATGGTGTTGATGGTGTTGATGTTGATGGTGTTGATGTTGATGGTGTTGATGGTGTTGATGTTGATGGTGTTGATGTTGATGGTGTTGACGGTGTTGATGTTGATGGTGTTGATGTTGATGGTGTTGATGGTGTTGACGGTGTTGATGTTGATGGTGTTGATGTTGATGATGTTGATGGTGTTGATGTTGATGGTGTTGATGGTGTTGATGTTGATGGTGTTGATGTTGATGGTGCTGACGGTGTTGATGTTGATGGTGTTGATGTTGATGGTGTTGATAGTGTTGATGTTGATGATGTTGATGGTGTTGACGGTGTTGATGTTGATGGTGTTGATGGTGTTGATGTTGATGGTGTTGATGGTGTTGATGTTGATGGTGTTGATGTTGATGGTGTTGATGGTTGATGTTGATGGTGTTGATGTTGATGGTGTTGATGTTGATGGTGTTGATGTTGATGGTGTTGATGGTGTTGATGTTGATGGTGTTGATGTTGATGGTGTTGATGTTGATGGTGTTGATGTTGATGGTGTTGATGTTGATGGTGTTGATGTTGATGGTGTTGATGGTGTTGATGTTGATGGTGTTGATGTTGATGGTGTTGATGGTGTTGATGTTGATGGTGTTGATGGTGTTGATGTTGATGGTGTTGATGTTGATGGTGTTGATGGTGTTGATGTTGATGGTGTTGATGATGTCGATGTTGCAGCATCCTGTACAAAACCAAGCTCCCCTTCATCGTGGTGATGAACAAGGTGAGTCACATCGCACACGCTACACACACGCTACATGCTACACACACACGTTACACGCTACATGCACGCTACACACACGCTACACACACGCTACACACACGCTACACACGCTACATGCTACACACACACGTTACACGCTACACACACGCTACACACGACACACACGCTACACGCTACATGCACGCTACATGCTACACACACGCGTTACACGCTAAGCACACGCTACACACACGTGTTACATGCTACACACACACTACACGCTACGTGCACGCTACACGCTACACACACACTACACGCTACACACACGCTACACGCTACACACACACTACACGCTACACACACGCGCTACACGCTAAGCACACGCTACACACACGCTACACACACGCTATTGTGTGTGTAATGTGTGTGTGATATCGCGTACCACGTGTCCCCCACCGTGTCTGCGCGCGTGCAGACGGACATCGTGTCGCACGAGTTTGCGCTGGAGTGGATGCAGGACCTGGAGCTGTTCCACGAGGCGCTGGAGCAGGACTCCTCCTACAGCAGCAACCTCAGCCGCTCCCTCAGCCTCGTGCTCGACACCTTCTACACCGACCTGCGGGTAGGACGCACACACGCTCGCCGTAGCCTCCACCACACACGCCGTAGCCTCCACCACTCATGCCGTAGCCTCCACCACACATGCCGTAGCCTCCACCACACATGCCGTAGCCTCCACCACACACGCCGTAGCCTCCACCACACACGCCGTAGCCTCCACCACACACACCGTAGCCTCCACCACACACACCGTAGCCTCCACCACACACGCCGTAGCCTCCACCACACACACCGTAGCCTCCACCACACACACCGTAGCCTCCACCACTCACACCGTAGCCTCCACCACACACACCGTAGCCTCCACCACACACACCGTAGCCTCCACCACACACACCGTAGCCTCCACCACACACACCGTAGCCTCCACCACTCACACCGTAGCCTCCACTACACACACCGTAGCCTCCACCACACACACCGTAGCCTCCACCACTCACACCGTAGCCTCCACCACACACGCCGTATCCTCCACCACACACGCCGTATCCTCCACCACACACGCCGTATCCTCCACCACACACGCCGTAGCCTCCACCACACACGCCGTAGCCTCCACCACACACGCCGTAGCCTCCACCACGTAGCCTCCACCACACACACCGTAGCCTCCACCACACACGCCGTAGCCTCCACCACTCACGCCGTAGCCTCCACCACGTAGCCTCCACCACACACGCCGTAGCCTCCACCACACACGCCGTAGCCTCCACCACGCACACCGACAACGCTCCCCACGGAGTCTCCGGCACCGTGACCCACGCCGTGACCCACGCCGTGACCCACGCCGTGACCCACGCCGTGACCCGCACCGTGACCCACGCCGTGACCCACGCCGTGACCCACGCCGTGACCCACGCAGTGACCCCGCACCGTGACCCACGCCGTGACCCCGCACCGTGACCCACGCCGTGACCCCGCGCCGTGACCCACGCAGTGACCCCGCGCCGTGACCCACGCCGTGACCCACGCAGTGACCCCGCGCCGTGACTCACACCGTGACCCACGCAGTGACCCACGCAGTGACCCCGCGCCGTGACTCACACCGTGACCCACGCAGTGACCCCGCGCCGTGACCCACACCGTGACCCACGCAGTGACCCACGCAGTGACCCCGCACCGTGACCCACGCAGTGACCCACGCAGTGACCCCGCACCGTGACCCACGCAGTGACCCCGCACCGTGACCCACACCGTGACCCACGCAGTGACCCCGCGCCGTGACCCACGCAGTGACCCACGCAGTGACCCCACACCGTGACCCACGCCGTGACCCACGCAGTGACCCCGCACCGTGACCCACGCAGTGACCCCGCACCGTGACCCACACCGTGACCCACGCAGTGACCCCGCGCCGTGACCCACGCAGTGACCCACGCCGTGACCCACGCAGTGACCCCGCACCGTGACCCACGCAGTGACCCACGCCGTGACCCACGCAGTGACCCCGCACCGTGACCCCGCACCGTGACCCACGCAGTGACCCCGCACCGTGACCCCGCGCCGTGACCCCGCGCCGTGACCCCGCACCGTGACCCGCGCCGTGACCCCGCACCGTGACCCACGCCGTGACCCACGCCGTGACCCACACCGTGACCCACACCGTGACCCACACTGTGACCCACGCCGTGACCCCGCACCGTGACCCCGCGCCGTGACCCCGCGCCGTGACCCCGCACCGTGACCCGCGCCGTGACCCCGCACCGTGACCCACGCCGTGACCCACGCAGTGACCCACACCGTGACCCACACCGTGACCCACACTGTGACCCACGCCGTGACCCACACCGTGACCCACACCGTGACCCACACCGTGACCCACGCCGTGACCCACGCCGTGACCCACGCCGTGACCCACACTGTGACCCACGCCGTGACCCACGCCGTGACCCACGCCGTGACCCACACTGTGACCCACACCGTGACCCACGCCGTGACCCACGCCGTGACCCACGCCGTGACCCACACCGTGACCCACGCCGTGACCCACGCCGTGACCCACGCCGTGACCCACACCGTGACCCACACCGTGACCCACGCCGTGACCCACGCCGTGACCCACGCCGTGACCCACACCGTGACCCACACTGTGACCCACACCGTGACCCACACCGTGACCCACGCCGTGACCCACGCCGTGACCCACGCCGTGACCCCGCACCGTGACCCACACCGTGACCCACGCCGTGACCCACGCCGTGACCCCGCACCGTGACCCCGCACCGTGACCCACGCCGTGACCCACGCCGTGACCCCGCACCGTGACCCCGCACCGTGACCCACGCCGTGACCCACGCCGTGACCCCGCACCGTGACCCCGCACCGTGACCCACGCCGTGACCCCGCACCGTGACCCACGCCGTGACCCCGCACCGTGACCCCGCACCGTGACCCACGCCGTGACCCCGCACCGTGACCCACGCCGTGACCCACGCCGTGACCCACGCAGTGACCCTGCACCGTGACCCCGCGCCGTGACCCCGCACCGTGACCCCGCGCCGTGACCCACGCCGTGACCCACGCAGTGACCCCGCACCGTGACCCCGCACCGTGACCCCGTGCCGTGACCCCGCGCCGTGACCCACGCCGTGACCCACGCAGTGACCCCGCACCGTGACCCTGCGCCGTGACCCCGCACCGTGACCCCGCGCCGTGACCCCGCACCGTGACCCCGCACCGTGACCCCGCACCGTGACCCACGCAGTGACCCCGCACCGTGACCCCGCACCGTGACCCCGCACCGTGACCCACGCAGTGACCCCGCACCGTGACCCACGCAGTGACCCCGCACCGTGACCCCGCACCGTGACCCCGCACCGTGACCCACGCCGTGACCCACGCAGTGACCCCGCATCGTGACCCCGCACCGTGACCCACGCCGTGACCCACGCAGTGACCCACACCGTGACCCCGCACCGTGACCCACGCCGTGACCCGCGCCGTGACCCGCGCAGTGACCCCGCACCGTGACCCCACGCAGTGACCCCGCACCGTGACCCGCGCCGTGACCCCGCACCGTGACCCACGCAGTGACCCACGCAGTGACCCCGCGCCGTGACCCGCGCCGTGACCCCGCACCGTGACCCACGCCGTGACCCACGCCGTGACCCGCGCCGTGACCCCGCACCGTGACCCGCGCCGTGACCCGCGCAGTGACCCCGCACCGTGACCCCACGCAGTGACCCCGCACCGTGACCCGCGCCGTGACCCCGCACCGTGACCCACGCAGTGACCCACGCAGTGACCCCGCGCCGTGACCCGCGCCGTGACCCCGCACCGTGACCCACGCCGTGACCCACGCCGTGACCCACGCCGTGACCCACACCGTGACCCCGCGCCGTGACCCACGCCGTGACCCACGCCGTGACCCACACCGTGACCCACGCCGTGACCCACACCGTGACCCCGCGCCGTGACCCACGCCGTGACCCACGCCGTGACCCACACCGTGACCCACACCGTGACCCACGCCGTGACCCACACCGTGACCCCGCGCCGTGACCCACGCCGTGACCCACGCCGTGACCCACGCCGTGACCCACACCGTGACCCACGCCGTGACCCACACCGTGACCCCGCACCGTGACCCACGCCGTGACCCACGCCGTGACCCCGCGCCGTGACCCACGCCGTGACCCACGCCGTGACCCACACCGTGACCCACACCGTGACCCACACCGTGACCCACACCGTGACCCACACCGTGACCCACACCGTGACCCACGCCGTGACCCACACCGTGACCCCCACCGTGACCCACAACCGTGACCCACGCCGTGACCCACACCGTGACCCCGCGCCGTGACCCACACCGTGACCCACACCGTGACCCCGCGCCGTGACCCACGCCGTGACCCACGCCGTGACCCACACCGTGACCCACACCGTGACCCACGCCGTGACCCACACCGTGACCCACACCGTGACCCACGCCGTGACCCACGCCGTGACCCACACCGTGACCCACACCGTGACCCACGCCGTGACCCACACCGTGACCCCGCGCCGTGACCCACACCGTGACCCACACCGTGACCCCGCGCCGTGACCCCGCGCCGTGACCCACACCGTGACCCACGCCGTGACCCCGCGCCGTGACCCCGCACCGTGACCCCGCACCGTGACCCACGCAGTGACCCACGCCGTGACCCCGCACCGTGACCCACACCGTGACCCACACCGTGACCCACGCCGTGACCCCGTGTCGTGACCCCGCACCGTGACCCCGTGCCGTGACCCCGCACCGTGACCCCGCACCGTGACCCACGCCGTGACCCCGCGCCGTGACCCCACGCCGTGACCCACGCCGTGACCCCGCACCGTGACCCCGCACCGTGACCCACGCCGTGACCCCGCACCGTGACCCCGCACCGTGACCCACGCCGTGACCCCGCACCGTGACCCCGCACCGTGACCCACGCCGTGACCCCGCACCGTGACCCCGTGCCGTGACCCCGCACCGTGACCCCGCACCGTGACCCACGCCGTGACCCCGCACCGTGACCCCACGCCGTGACCCCGTGCCGTGACCCCGCACCGTGACCCCGCACCGTGACCCACGCCGTGACCCCGCAGGTGGTGGGCGTCTCTGCGGTGACGGGCGCTGGGATGGTGGAGCTGTTTGAGGCCGTGGAGAAAGCGAGGGAGGAGTACGCGAGGTACACACACGCACACGCACTGGTGCACACGGACACACGTGCACACACACACTCACACACGTACACACACGTACACACACACACACACTCACTCACACACACACTCACATACACACACTCACACACGCACACACGTACACACACGTACACACACACACTCACTCACACACACACTCACACACGTACACACACGTACACACACACACTCACTCACACTCACTCACACTCACTCACATACACTCACTCACACTCACTCACACACACACGTACACAGTGAGTGTTGGAGGGAGCTGTGGGACGCGAGGTGTTGTTGTGTTGTTGTTGTGTTGTTGTTGTGTTGTTGTTGTGTTGTGTTGTTGTTGTGTTGTTGTTGTTGTGTTGAGGTGGGCTCTGTGTGCTGCTCGCTTGGCAGGGAATATCGGCCCGAGTACGAACGCCTCAAGCAGATCAAGGTGAGAGAACCCCCCCCCACTCCCTCTACGCCCCCCACTCTCGCCCATCCCCCACTCCCCCCCCACCCCCCACTCCCCCCCCCCCACTCCCGCCCATCCCCACTCCCCCCACCACCCCACTCCCCCCCCCCCACTCCCGCCCATCCCCCACTCCCCCCCCACCCCCCACTCCCCCCCCCCCACTGCCCTCCACGCCCCCCACTCCCCCCCACCCCCACTCCTGCTGCTGCTCCTGCTGCTGCTGCTGCAGCTGCTGCTGCTCCTGCTGCTGCTGCTCCTGCTGCTGCTGCTGCTCCTGCTGCTGCTGCTGCTACTGCTGCTGCTCCTGTTGCTGCTGCTGCTCCTGCTGCTGCTGCCTGTTGCTGCTGCTGCTCCTGCTGCTGCTGCTGCTCCTGCTGCTGCTGCTCCTGTTGCTGCTGCTGCTCCTGCTGCTGCTGCTGCTGCTCCTGCTGCTGCTGCTCCTGCTGCTGCTGCTGCTCCTGCTGCTGCTGCTGCTGCTACTGCTCCTGCTGCTGCTGCTCCTGCTGCTGCTGCTCCTGCTGCCTCTGCTGCTGCTGCTCTGCTGCTGCTGCTGCTCCTGCTGCTGCTGCTCCTGCTGCTGCTGCTGCTCCTGCTGCTGCTGCTGCTCCTGCTGCTGCTGCTGCTGCTCCTGCTGCTGCTGCTGCTGGCTAAATGGTGATTGTCGCGATTCCGTCAGGAGGAGGAAGCCGCCAGGCGGCAGCAGGAGCAGCTGACTCGGCTGCACAAGGACCTGGGCGCAGTGCACATGGGCACCGTGAGCGGTGCGTAAACAACAACAACAACGACAACAACAACAACGACGAGACAAAGCTTCCCCGGGTAGCCCACGCCGTCCGGGGGCAAGTGCCGTTAGCGAGCAGCGGCGGCGGGGGCAGCTACGAAGGCCGCACTCACCAACTCACTCACTCACCAACTCACCATCTCACTCACTCACCCACTCACCATCTCACTCACTCACTCACCAACTCACCATCTCACTCACCATCTCACTCACTCACCCACTCACCATCTCACGTCACTTCACCTACACCAACTCACCATCGCACTCACACACTCACCACTCACCATCTCACTCACACCACTCAACAATCTCACTCACTCACCCACCAGACAACTCACC